TGCTGTGCCTGCATCCTGTCCTTGATGTGCCACCTGTGTTGGGGACCACACTGTCCCTCCCTCCGTGGCCAGCTCTGCTGCTTGCCTTGCTCTGGGCTTGTCCCCAGATCCTTCTGGAGCTGGGGCTGCAGGAGCAAACACCCCATTCCTGTTGCTTGTGGCAGCTCTCCTCTGCTCAAACTGTACAGCCCCATTCCCTGCTCTGCATGTTCTCTCCAGGCCCTGGGCCCTGCTTTTGGGTCTGGTTTGTCAGTGTTTGGTGCTCAGGTGCAGGCAGTGGGTCAGGGGAGCTGTGGGGGCACGACCCAGGAGGGGCTGTGGTTGGCTTTGGGGATCACTTGGGAAAAGCTGCCAGGGATGAGTAAGGGAATAATTTGGACTTGGGCACGTGAGAGAAGAGGGCACGTGGGACTGGGGCAGGGAGGCTCAGTCCTCAGAGCTCTATCCAGAGGCCTCCTGGGGCCTGTGGAGTGACCAGGGGGCTGCACCAACACTCCAGGGCTTTGATAGTGTTCCACACCTTTTCAGCCTGGGGACTCTGCTGGTCCTGTGCTTGTCCCTGCTCTTCCAGCACATCCCCAGACCACAGGACAGGCTGCAGGCAGATGGGATCCTCAGCCCCACATCCCATGGGCTCCACGTTCCTCCACCACCACCCCTAAACGTGAGCTTGGGGCCAGTCCTGCCTAGGGGGATTGCTCCCTGCTCATGCCAGGACCTGCTGAGCATCTGGAAGAGTCTCAGCTTGAAGCTGTCACCTGTCAACACTCGCTTGGTGCTCACCTGGCTTTGCTGCCCAGGGAAATTCCAGCTCCACTTTATCCTGTGTTTTTCTCCTTTTGGCTGAATTTCTGTTGTTCTCCCCGTGCTGTCCCTTCCTGCTGTCCAGCCACAGCCCAAGGGGGGGTCACAGTCACCCCTCCTGCAGCACTGCCTCCCCTGTCTGCTGGCAGCCTGTCCTTGACAGGGCACTGCTCACGTCCTGTGTACGACGAGGAGGAAGATGCCCTTCCCCAGGGCTGCCTTTCCCTGACGGTGCTTCACTCAGCTCCTTCAACAGCAGCTTTCCCCTGCTCTCCCCGGGCTGGGCTTCCACCCCGGAGCTCCCCCAGCATCAGCTCGTTGTGATTTGTCCTTTGCTGCTTTGGCTCGTTCTGAACCCGGCCGTGTTTTGAGGCTGTGCTTTGCTGCTTGTGACGCCCACGTCCCCCAGCCGAGCCGCACACCCGCGTCCCGTGGGTGCCACATGGCTGTTCCTGCTCCCCGGGGCACACTTTGGGGCTTGTCCCTCCGTGTCCCTGCTCTGGGGGGGCTCCAGGCTCCCCCATGTAACCCCCAAGGTGCCAGTGGAGGCTTTGTGCTCGGAGAGGACGTGGTGGCTGCGTGAGGTTTTAGTTTCTAGGTATATGCAATAAAGAATAACCTGCCCCCCGAGCTGTCCGTTACCAGCAGTAGTGCTCTCTGCTCTTTCTGTTGATGTTTACTAATGTAAACCCAGTATTTGTTACTGTAAGAGGATTTTTTTTTTGTACGGTACTTCGAAAAAACCCACAAAAAACAACCAAAAAAAAAGAGGAAAGAAATAAACAGAGTTAATGAAGCAGGCTCCTGGATTGCTGTGGGAGGTTGTGCGGGGGCAGCAGCGGTGGGGCTGTGCCCCAGTTCCTGGGCTGCCTGCAGGATGTGACCCATCGCGCCAGGATTGCGCTCCGCGGGTTAGCAGGGCTGGGGCACGCGGGGACGAGGGCTGAGGAACGGCCAGAAACAGCGGCAACAAACGGGGGAACGACGAGCTTCCCCCGCACTGAGCTGGGACGTGTCGGCTGCACCCCCTTCCCGCACCCACCGCGGGCCGTGCCGGCAGCCAGCCCCGTTCCCCGCTCGGGAGCTCCACACCCGGTGCTCCGGGCTGGCTTTCCGTGCCGGAGCCGTGACAACCGCGGAGCCCCGGAGCCCGGCAGCCCCACGTGGGCCGGCGGCGTCACGGGAGGCGGCGGCCGGGGCGCAGGAAGGGCAGCGGGGGCGCGGGGAGGCGGGCACAGCCGCGCCTTAAAAGTCCCCGCTGGGACGGGCTCGTTTCCGCGTCACCCGCCGTCCTGATGGCCCCCGCGGTGCCGCTGGCCGTCCTGGCCCTGCTGGCCCTGGTGGCCCCGGGGCTCGGCGCGGCCCCCGGCTGTGATTACCCTGCCCAGCGCTGGTGCAGCTCCCGGGACACCGCCGCCGCCTGCCAGGTCAGAGCTGCTGCTGCTGCTGCCGGGGCTGGGGACACGGGCAGGGTCACCCGGCACGCGGGGACAGGGCTGGGGCAGCGCCTGGCAGCGATGCCTGGAGCGAGTGCCAGCTGCGAGGCACAGGGTGGCATCTGCAGGGATGCTCAGGGCCTCCGGTGCCACACGGGCACTACGGCATTGCCCAGCATCCCTGGGGAACGGCTGGACCCTGCTCCTCCCCAGCCACCGCTGGCACTTCTTCTTTTTAAGTGTAAAACCGCTTTTTGGCTGATTCTGCCCCAAACAGAGCCGGGTGGTGACAGTGCCCTGTGAGCCCCACGGGACTGCAGCTTCCCCCTGGCACTGCGTGCTGGGCCATACCCCCACCCAGGCACATCCTGGTCTAAATTTGTTTTCCCCTGAAATATTTTGGGGAAGTTCTGGTGGAAAGCCCCAGCGCTGGCTGCCAGCCACGCACAGGATCGTGTGGCCACTCTCACTTCCCTCTCGCCCTGCACACCCCTTCTTCCCCCATCCCGGAGCTTTGCCCCATCCCTACAGCTACCAGAACAGGGGGGCTGCAGCCGTGCCCCCCCGTGCACCCCGAAACCCTCCCGTGTGCAGGTGGAGAGCCGCTGCCCCAGGCTCCCTCAGCCCGCGGCTGCTCCCGTGGAGCTGAGCCTGTACTACGAGAGCCTGTGCCCGGCGTGCCGCGCCTTCCTGGCCCTCAAGCTCTTCCCCACCTGGCTGCTGCTGCCCGAAGAGATGCTGAACATCACCCTGGTACCCTACGGCAACGCCCAGGTAGGAGCCGGCCCCGCCGGTGCCCCCCCCGGTGCCGCCGGCCCCGCTCAGACCCGTCGGTCCCGCAGGAGAGGAACGTCAGCGGCAAGTGGCACTTCCAGTGCCAGCACGGCCCCAAGGAATGCCTGGGCAACATGATGGAGGTGACTGCCCCCACTCCCACGGGGCTGGCACGGGGGGCTCCAGCAGCCCCTCACCGCCCGCCCTGTCCCCGCAGGCCTGTCTGATGCACGAGGCCAAGAACTTCAGCACCTACTTCCCCGTCATCTTCTGCCTGGAGTCGGGCAGCTCCGCCACCAAGAACCTGGAGGCTGTATGTCCCCCTCCCCGCCCCTCATGCCCCGCGTGGGGGCTGTCCCTGTCCCCCTGAGCGCCCCGGTGTCCCCTGTGCTGGCAGTGCCTGCAGATCTACGCCCCAGAGGTCGACAGCAGCCGCGTCACCGCCTGCGTGCAGGGGGACACGGGGGTGGCCCTGATGCACCACAACGCCCAGCTGACCGAGGCTCTGGACCCCCCGCACCAGTACGTGCCCTGGATCACCATCAATGGGGTATGGCAGGGGGCACCAGTGCCAGGCAGGGCTGGGACACCCTGGGGACCCCCCTGACCGGCCCCGTGTCCCCCCGCAGAAGCACACGGACGAGCTGCAGGCACAGGCAGAGGCCTCGCTGCTGGGGCTGGTTTGTCACCTCTACCAGGTGGGACAAGGCTCTGTGGGGACAGCAGGGCTTGGGGACACGTCCTCCTCCCTGCTGGGGCTCTCATGGCTGCTCTCTGGCAGGGGGAGAAGCCTGAAATCTGTGGGGGCTCCAAGGCCCCGAAGATCCCGTCGGGCTGCAGGCGCTGAGGGATGGTGTGGGAGCAGCGAGAGAGAGGCCAATAAAAAGGATATTTTTATGGAAAACCAGCAGGATCTGGAGTGGTGTGGTGGGGGGAGCAGGGAGGGGGTGGTTTTGTCCTGCCACAGGAAGGGGAGAGGGGCTGGGCACTGGGGCTGCCCTCCAGACCTGGGAATTACCTGCTCCAGAGGGTCACAAAGAAGCCCCTTGAAGATTCCCTGGGAACTCTGCTGAGCAGCAGAACATTTCCTCTCTCCAAGTCTTGGGAAGCAGCTCCTGTGCCCATCTTTCTCCTCACACTGACAGCACTAAATTCAACCATTTCAGGAGCACTGGGGCCAAGACCATCCCAGTTGCCACCAGTCCCTCTCCATTCCCAACCAGCAGGTTTAGGATGGAATCTTTCCTGGTAGCTCCCCGAGCACTTGTGACAAGCAATTCTCTCAGGAATTTCCCAGACCTGCTTGCCCCAGCAAGAGGCCATTCCCAGCTGGGGTCTGGGGCATGAAATTCGCCACAAGGACAAGGAATTCCTGATCCAGAGAATTCTCCTCACTACCTGTAGAACAACTCAGTTCCAGGGTCCTGGCTGGGTGATGGGCACCAGAACCCACACCTGCTTTGTTTTCCACCCTCCTCCTCAGCCAGAGGCTCCTGACTGCAGGGACTGTCCTCAAAGCTCTCCTCACACGAGGTGTGACCCCTGCAGGCCTGGGACTCATCCCACCACATCCCAGCTCTGGGCACAGCCCAAGGGCACTGGCACACCCCTGAGAGGCACCTGCAGCCTCCCTTAACCCTTTCCCAGAGGAGCTGGGGAGGCTGTGGGAGCAGGGGGGACACAGGAAGCCCCCACATTCCATCCTGAGAGATGGCAGAGAGCCTCGAGCAGCCAACAGCCAGGAAGAACCATGGCCCTGCCATCACTCTTGTCTCTCTCAGGCTCAGCCAGCCTGGGCAGCCCTCAGTGTCCCCACCACCCCAAGGACAGCAAGGGAGGCAGCAGCAGGCAGGGACCCCTCCTTCCCTTGTTTGGCTGCACCTCAGGCAGCAGCAAGGCCTGGAAAGATGAGGGGAAAAAAACCAATAAAATTAAAAAAAAAATTTAAAAAAAAAAATCACAGCATGACCCAGAGAGTGCCTGGAAACTTCATCTCTCTTTATTGTCCATTTCTCATCCAAAACCTGGACCCCAAGCCCAGCCCTGGGCCCTGAGCAAGCACAGTCTCACCGGCATGAGCACAGCACAGCTCCTGCTGCTGCTCAGCCTCTGCCTCGAGCATCGCCCTTGCCCCAAAACCTGTTCCCTGGATCAGCTGCACTGCACTGCCCACAGCTCGCAGGGCCATAGCAAAGCCTTCCCCTCGAAAGAAGAAGGGAAAAGAAAGACCATGACAAACCCTAGCCCTGGATCTGAAGGAGTCTCAGCGCCGCAGGACGAGCTCTCCTCTCCCGAGGCTGCAGCCGGAGCCCTCGGTGCCCTCGGGGCCGTGGGGCAGGACCCCGTCCCACAGGCTGAGGGGCTCGGACACCCCCTGCCCACGGCTGGGGGGAGCTTTGGGACAGAGGAGGCTGCCCCAGGGTGTCCAGGAGCCCCCCGGGCGGCTCTCGGCGCCCAGCCCGAGCGGAGGGAGCAGCGAGCCGGGGAACCCGCTGCCATCTCCCGGGTCTGCCCCGGGCCAGCTCGGTGCCGGCAGCTCCCGGCTCAGGAGGAGGGACAGCGACCCCGCGGCCCCCTCGGGCTGGAGCAGGGAACCCTCCAGGCTGCGGGGGAAGGCCGCAGGTGCGGGTGGAGCTCTCGCAGCCGCCCGCTCCTCCGCGGCTCTCCTGCGGCCGCCCTTGCCGCACAGCCGCACCACCCTGACGCCGTGCCAGTCGCGCTGCCCCAGGCTCTCGGCGGCGCTGCGGGCGCTCTCCAGGCTCTCGTACTCCACCAGGGCACAGCAGCGGCTCAGCAGCTCGGGGAAGCGCGCCGAGTACCTGCGCACGTCCGAGGGCAGCTTGCGGCCCGGCCGCAGCAGGCGGATGGAGGCGATGGCGCCGAAGGGGCTGAACATCCTCGTGATGGTGTCCAGGAAGTTTTTCTGCAGGGGCAGGTCCTGCTCCCGCGGCTGCAGCTCCCAGGCCAGCAGCAGCTTGCTGGGGGGGACGCTCAGCAGGTACTCGGGGATGGGCAGGCGCCGCCGCACTTTGGTGCCCTCCTTGTTCACCTCCAGCAGCGCCGAGAACTTGAGGGCGTAGAGGGTGAGGCGCCAGTCCCGGGTCAGGTATTTCACCTGGGCACGGAGGGTGGAATGCCCATCGCTCTGCATCCCCCACAGCGGCAGGGACCACCCTAAACCCCCCCTCCAGGCAGCTGTGACCCCATCCAGCACCCCCAGGGCAATGTCCCCCTTCTGCCTGAGCAGCTCTGGGGTCTGCAGACAGCCCAGTGTCCCCCAGGCTCTGGTAAGAACCCACACCACCAGCACTTCTCTGGGATTTTTTGGTTAAGGAATGATCACTTCCAAAGCAGGCCATCACTTCCACAGCCTCCAGCCAGGCTGTGACCCCATCAAACATCCCCAGGGCAATGTCCCCCTTCTGCCTGAGCAGCTCTGGGGTCTGCAGACAGCCCAGTGTCCCCCAGGCTCTGGCAAGGAGCCACAACTTCCCCCTAAGCCACACCACCAGCACTTCCCTGGGATTTTTTTGGTTAAGGAATGATCACTTCCAAAGCAGTCCATGGGTAGAAGAGGTGAGCCCAGCCCTGGGGGTGGTTTGAGGAGCTTTCCCTGCTCCCCTGGGCACTGAGCAGAGCCCAGCTCTGCAGCAGCAGGACACAGCCCAGCGCTCCCCACACCCCACGGGAGGCAGCCTGCACCCCCAGACCCACCTTCTTGAAGGATGTCAGCAGCTTGATGCTGACAAAGCCCATCTTGTTCTTCTGCACGTGTTTGAGCAGGAAGGCGTCCTTGGCCAGGTTCTCGTCGGACAGGTAGAACTCCACCTGGGCCACGATCCTGCGCACCAGCTGCGGGTCGGGGCCGGGGCACGAGGGCTCCAGCAGGGCCACCCCCAGCTCACAGGAGCTCCTGGCACAGCAGTGGGGACACAGGGGTCAGCTGCTGCCCAGGACACCGTGGTGGGGCAGCAGAGACACCACGGGCAGCCACCAGCCCTGCCCTGGGCACGGGGAACGACCCCAGCCTCTGCCCTGGGCACGGGGAATGAACCCCAGCCTCTGCCCTGGGCACGGGGAATGAACCCCAGCCTCTGCCCTGGGCACGGGGAATGAACCCCAGCCTCTGCCCTGGGCACGGGGAATGAACCCCAGCCTCTGCCCTGGGCACGGGGAATGAACCCCAGCCTCTGCCCTGGGCACGGGGAATGAACCCCAGCAGGCAGCCACCAGCCCTGCCCTGGGCATGGGGAACGACTCCAGCCTCTGCCCTGGGCATGGGGAATGAACCCCAGCCTCTGCCCACCAGCCCTGCCCTGGGTATGGGAAACAGCCCCAGCCTTGCTCTGGGCACAGGGAATAGCCCCAGCCCATGCCCACCAGCCCTGCCCTGGGCACGGGGAATGACTCCAGCCTGTGCCCACCAGCCTTGCACTGGAGGGAACAACTCCAGCCTTGGCCTGGGCTTAAGGAACAGCCCCAACCTGTGCCCACCAGCCCTGCCCTGGGTACAGGGAATGACTCCAGCCTTGCCCTGGGCATGGGGAACAGCTCCAGCCTTGGCCTAGGCACAGGGAATGACTCCAGCCTTGCCCTGGGCATGGGGAACAGCCCCAGCCTGTGCCCACCAGCCTTGCCCAGGCTATGGGGAACAGCCCCAGCCCTGCCCTGGGTACAGGGAATGACTCCGGCCTTGGCTTGGGCACAGGGAATGACCCCAGCCCTGCCCTGGGCACGGGGAATGACTCCAGCCTGTGCCCACCAGCCTTGCACTGGAGGGAACAACTCCAGCCTTGGCCTGGGCTTAAGGAACAGCCCCAACCTGTGCCCACCAGCCTTGCCCAGGCTATGGGGAACAGCCCCAGCCCTGTCCTGGGCACAGGGAATGACCCCAGCCCTGTCCTGGGCACAGGGAATGACCCCAGCCCGTGCCTCAGGAGCCTCCCAGGCTGGATCAAACACATCCCACGCAAGGGACACGTCCCTTGAGGACAAACATGCTCAGCACTCCCACGTACCCTCTGCAGCTCTCCACGGTGTCCTCCTGGCCGAGCAGGGTGAGGGAGCAGCTCCACGGGGCAGGGAGAGGCTGTGCCAGGAGGGAATTCCTGGGTACAGGCACTGGGGTGCTGCAGCTGGGCTGGGCATCGAGCCCCAGGGGCAGTCCAGAGCCACGTGAGGACATTGTCCCTTCACCTGGGAGGTGACACAGGAGAAGGACAGTGCTGGGACACCCCAGCCCCCAGAGCCAGCCCAGGGCAGGGCACTGGGGGAGGTGATGGTTGTGTCTTTACCTGCTTGGTAGCACTGGAAGAAAGTTCTAAGCTCTAGCAGAACATCCCAAACATCCTGAGGCAGCAACTCCCAAAACACAAAGGCAAAAAAAAAAAAAAAAAAAAAGAAAAAAAAAATAAAATAAAAAGGGGGAAAAAAAAGGAAAGAGAGAAAACCCCTGGGGTGAGGGGGGGCTGGGTTTATAAACACACCCTGAAGGAGCTGCAGGGTGGCTGTGGACCTGCCCCCACACTGCCTGCTCCAGGTGAAACCTGTTTGTGGTTAAACTGCCCCAGCTGAGCCCTGGATTAGCCAGGCCAGGGAGCAGGCAGGGCAGGGCCAGCAGAACCTGTCCCCTCTGGTAGCCAGGGGGGCACTGAATTGCAGCCACGAGGCCTCTGTGTCTGTGCCTCAGTTTCCCTGCCTTGAGCGGGGACTGTGACAGCCACACGGGGAAGGGAAGCCTCTGTGCAGGGAATCCTTTGGGCTCTCAAATCCTTTGGGCTCCCCACCGCTCCTTGGGGCTCTCAGTGCTGCCAGGGCAGCAGGGAAGGGCCCTCCTCCCTGCAGAAACATCCCATGAGGAGCAGGCATGGAGCCATGGGAAGGGTCTGCAATGAAACATCCCCATGGCCTGAGCCCGTGCTGGGCAGCAGGGGCAGGGTGAGGGAGCTGGGGCAGCTAGGGGGTGACACTGGGCTGGGGACAGTGCCAGGGCAGGGTGGAACTGGGACTGCTGGTGCTGGGAGCCCTCCTGGGCCTGGCTGATGTGCCCTGGGGCCACACGGACAGGCCCAGGCTGCCCTGGCACAAGGGCAGATGCTGCTGCAGAGCAAAGGATGGGAGAAGTTGCAGGCAAACAACAGAAGGTGGCTCTGGTTCCTGCTTTCAAATCTGTATTTTGTGTTGGTTCATTTTGAGAGCTTCATCTCATTTCCCAAGCCCCTGGCCCAGAGGCTTCCTGGACATGGGGCCTGTTCTGTGACACCGTGGGGACAATCCAGGAGTGCCAGAACATGGACCTGAAGCCATCCCAGCCCAGGGACACAGAGGGGACAAAGAGGAGACGAGTCCAGGGCTCATCTCACCCTCACATCCCAGCAGCCATGCACAGGTTGGAGCTCTGCAGGGTGTCCTGGCTGTCCCAGAGCAGCAGCACCCCCAGCCTGGTGGCACTGCAGTGTCCCCTGTCCCTTGGCTCTGCAGGGTGTCCTGGCTGTCCCAGAGCAGCAGCACCCCCAGCCTGGTGGCACTGCAGTGTCCCCTGCCCCTTGGGCTGTGCCCCCCTGCCCAGCTGTGCAGGTAGTGCTGGAGCTTGCAGAGACCTGCAGAAGTTCAGCTGCTGAAAGCAACTTTTGGACCATTTTTGCTTGGTTTTGATGGACTTTGCCCTGTCAGGAGTCCCAAAGTCAGGGCTGGCAGCCACAGGGGGTGCAGAGAAGGGTGGAGATCCTTTCCCTCCCTCCTCCAGGCCTCCAAAGCCCAAATGATGCTCAACCACCCCAAATGCCCAGCTCAGGGAAGACCCTTGTGCCAGACACTCCAGGATGCCCCCAGAGCAGCAGCTCCTCCCAGGCTGGTGGCACTGCAGTGTCCCCTGCCCCCTGGGCTGTGCCCCCCTGCCCAGCTCCAGGGTTGCCCTTCTGGGATGAGCCACAGGGAATGGCACTGTCCAGCTGCTTCTGGAATGTTCTACTCTGATTTCCCCAGGCTTGGTGGCACCTCCCCTTCTCCTGCCACCTCCTGGTGCTCTCTGCTGCTTGGGAAGAGGTGGGAGACAAAATCCTGGGATGCTGGTGCTGAATCTGTGCAGGATTTGCCCGTCTGGGAGGGGATGGAGCCAGAGGCAGGCTGAGGATGGGGTGTAGGTGCTACCAGGAGGATTTTGAGCTGTGTTTGCTTTGTGCTTAGAGGCAGATTTTCTCAGGGTCAGGAGGTGCTGCCCAGCTCCCCTGGGGGAAATAATCTCCTGCTTCCAGAGCTGAGATTCCCAAAGGAACAGGCTCTGTCTGGTGCAGCCAGACTGGGCTTAATCCAGGGGGAGAGAGAAGCAAAGGCACAGAGGCTGAACCTTGCTGAGGGGTCAGAGCAGGAACGACCCAGCCCTTGTCCCACCCCTCCCATCCCCACTGCCCCCATCCTCTCAATTAGTCTGGAAGCTTAATTAGAAAATCCTCCAGCGGCGCTGTGCTCAGTCTCTGCTCCCCTCGGGGTTACCTGACACACCAGCTGCTGCTCCGGGGGGAATGTGCCTCCCTGCAGACCCCTGCCCTGCTTCATCACCCTGCCCTGGGCAGCTCCTGCATCCCCCCAGGCTGCTGCAGCATCTCCTGGCACTCTCAGCAGGGTCACAGAAGAAATGGCACCACGACACTCCTTGTGCAGGCCTGGCTTGGATACACATTTATTGCTGTTCAGCTGTAGCTGGGAATGCTGTGGAGGGGTTTGGGTGCTGCTCCAGCCTCCTCACACGCTGCTGCAGAGCTCCAGAGCATCTCCTTTGCACGCTGGCTTCCCTCAGAGGAAGAGCTGAACTTCCTGTGGCCCTCAGTGGGAGCAGGGCAGTAAAGATTTGGTTGCTCTGTTGTTTTTTTAGACTCTTCTTATCTCGTCAGCAGGATCCCAAGTGTGGACTCTGACCCGGGGAGTTTTCATGGCTATGTACATTTAAATCTGCCTCTCTCACTTCTCTCCTGCCACTTGCATGTGAGACATTTACAGACAAACACTGCCCTGGCACAAGGAGGGGGCAGAGGGAGGATGTGCCACTGCACACACGCCCGTGTCACTTGCCATTAGCAGCGTGTCTGGAAGTGCCACAGCTGCCTCGGTGCCACTGGGAGTGAGAAAATCAGAGATTTGGGTAGAAGACACTCTGCTAGGCAAATGCACACCTGGAAAAGCTCACACCAAACACTGCATCACCAGAAACCATAATAATAGAAGCTATTTATGACACGGCCTTTATTCACAGAGAGGTTTGCCCCAGGGCTTTGTTTTGATGACAGATCCCCCCTCCTCTGCCCTGTGGCCCACAGCACCTCAGTGTGGCCCACAGCACCCCAGGGCAGTCCATGGCAGCACAGACCCCCCAGGACATGGGGAGGGGATAAACCCTGCAGAGCCCCCCCAGCTCAGCCCCACGGGAAAGGCCAAGGGACCCAGAGAGGGAAGAGCCAGCGGAGTGCTGGGGGTCTGTGCCAGCCCCTCCCCACCTGGGATGGGCCAGTCTGAGCCGTGCTGGGCCAGTCTGAGCCGTGCTGGGCCAGTCTGAGCCATGCTGGGCCATCTGGAGCAGGGAATGGGAACAAGGCCCCCCTAAGGCACTGTGGTCACCCCCCCTCGCCCCTGCTCCAGACCCTCCTTCAACCTCAGAGCAGGACAGGGGGTGGGAATTTCACAAACCCCAGGATGTGGGACCAGTTCCTGTCTGCCTGGGCACCGTGGAGGACGGGGATTGCCGTGGGATCATCATGGGATTGCCACGGGATTGCCAGGGGATTGCCATGGGATCACCATGGGATCACCATGGGATGACCACGGGATTGCCATGGGATCACCACAGGATTGCCAGGGGATTGCCATGGGATTTCCATGGGATGACCACGGGATTGCCATGGGATCACCATGGGATTTCCATGGGATCACCATGGGATCACCACGGGATTGCCATGGGATCACCATGGGATTTCCATGGGATCACCATGGGATCACCACGGGATTGCCATGGGATCACCATGGGATTTCCATGGGATCACCACGGGATTGCCCCCAGGCACTCGTGGCACGTGGGACAATGGACACGCTCTGCCTCCAGCTGCCACTGCCTCGGAGTCCTTTGGTATCTTGAGTTGGCTGTTGGCATCCCAGGAGCGTTGGGGTGAAGGGCCAGGCTGGGGGGCCATGGAAGCAGGTGGGAATGCTCATCCCACAGTCCCAGAGCACGCCTGTGTCCGTCGGGATGTGCAGCCTGGAGCCTCTCCCAGGGGGGACAGGGGACACCAGCTGCCTGTGCCCCCCGTGCAAGAGATTTGGCAAAGCCAGAGCCAGCACAGCTTGTCTGGAAAGGCTGCAGGAGAAGGGCCGGGTGTTTTTCCTTCTTCTTGGGCACTGATTGGTTCAAGTTTGTATCACAGTGAAGTCTGAGACGAGGGGAAGGAACCCAAAGCACCTTCCCTGACAGAGAAAGCCTCGTTTGTGCTTCAGCTGGAGAGGCAGGAGAGCTCCTCCAGCCAGGCACATCCCACCTGCTGCTGGCCACAGAGCCCTGCATCCTTTGGGAGCACACTCTGGAGCTTCTCCCTCCCCTCCGGAGGGACACTGGCAGCCAAACCGGCTCAGCCCATCCTCAAACACAAGTAAACAGAAAGAGAAACTAAGAGGCACTATAATAACGCAGATCCGGGGGGCCCGGGCTTGGCCCCGCCTGGCTCCGGATGGATGGCTCGCTCCAGCCCCGGGTCAGATGTCAGATGTCCTGCAGGGAGTGGCCAGGTGTGTCCCGGGTCTCAGATGTCCTGCAGGGAGTGGCCAGGTGTGTCCCGGGTCTCACATGTCCTGCAGGGAGTGGCCAGGTGTGTCCCGGGTCTCAAGATGTCCTGCAGGGAGTGGCCAGGTGTGTCCCGGGTCTCAGATGTCCTGCAGGGAGTGGCCGGGCTCGCTGCGCTCCCGCTTGACCAGCGGCTCCCCCGGGTCCCCCTCGGTGCCCAGCTCGCTGATGTCATCTGCAAAGGACACGGTCAGGGCAGGGCAGGGGCCAGCGGGGCTGCCAGCCGGCAGGGCAGCTGCAAGAGGCAGCAGGAGCATCCCCCTCCCACGGGCAGCCCACCCCGAGCAGCAGAGCCCCCGGCGGGGAGGGCAGGTACCTTTGTCCAGCAGCGTCGGGGACAGGGATGTGAGGTCACCAAACTGAAAGAAAAAGGAGTTGTGGGGTCAGTGAGGCTGTGGGGAGCTGAGGTGCCAGACAATTTTAAGCACCCAGGAGAGACCGAGCATGGGTGCTGGTGGTGGAGAGCAGAAATCAAAACCAGCCACAGCTTTTGGGGGAAAAGCCTTTTGGTGCCATTTAAACCTCTGGGCAAACACCACACACAACAATCCAGGGCAGGATTTAGCTCTGC